CAAAAAAGTCCATTCTTTACAAGAATATCTGTGTCTCAAGATACTTGTGGTGGGCGTTGAGAGTGGGTTATGGAATAAGGCTAGAAAATAGGAACTAAAAAAAAGACCATCCCTTTACGAGAATATCTGTGTCTCAAGATACTTGTGGTGGGCGTTGAGAGTGGGTTATGGAATAAGGCTAGAAAATAGGAACTAAACTCTAGGGCCAGCTAAGAGAGGAAAAAGTTCAACTGTTAGCTAGCAATTGGCAAAACACAACAAGGGCTTGCCATAGCTTTAATGTGACACTGGGAAAAGTACCTGAAGATTTTACCTAGCAAAGAAATCAATATGCTTGAACAATGTATTTAATAACTAGCACATATACCCATATATATATTTATACTGCTTTCTAACCCAGGCTGGAGAAAAATAGAGAAGTAGGCTGGGCAGCTTAAGATGATTGTGAAAAGTAATGAACACATACTCGAAGGGAGAGAACATCTCGTGGTTTGAAATTCCTGTTGACCCAACGGACCAGGGGGGGCTCGACCCGAGTGACTCAAGATTGAACTTTGTGGGGAGTAATTATGCCCTTTTTGGGAAAGTAGGGGCTTTTTGTCTTAATAAAAAGCAGAAGTGAAGTAATTAGGCGACCGGGAATTATTATGTAACTTCTTGTCACCAGCTCTGGTGGCCGGAAGAGGGAATTTTTTTTATTTTCCAAACCCTCGCCGGGGACAGGATAAATGGTGTGTTCTCCCAGTGCTTCGGTGTGTTCTCCCAGTGCTCATTGGGCAGGCTGTAACCAAATAAAATCTGTTTCACTGAAGGAAAGTCTGTCTCCAGAAATTACTTATTGGTAAGGGAGAATTTCATTTACGACACGTATGAGGCGCTTTTTGGCGCCTAAACCTTTTGGCTCTCCTCATCCAGCTGAGGATGTCTCTGAATTTCTTTTCCCCTGAAGTTTTTCACAATTTTCAGAGATCTGCATTACCTGGTCTCGTTTGTGATGTGGAATTAATGGGGTTGGAGCCTGGATAAAGCCTCTGTTGATGGAAGGAATGTCCACCAGTTCAGCAGGATTTTTCTGGTTCCTGCTGCAGTTCCCAAAAAATCCCAAATGCTGCTCCCCGGGAATGAGCCCTCCTGCAACAGCATAGAAGGGGAGTTGGAGGTCCATTGGGGGTGGAATCAGTGGAAATTATCCCCCCATCCACCAAGAATATTCTCCATTGGATCCAACCCATACATTAGGAACCCTCTATTCTTTCATATCTTCTGATTTCCAGTTTTTCACTGTTTTTTGCATGTGTAAATTGCCACAATTTTCAGTTCCTTCCATTGATCTGTGTTTTCTCTTTCTCTTGCATCAATATTGCATTTTTAAAGGGGGGTTAAATAAATTGAAGGCACCAGAATCTGTAACAACTTGTGTGTTTTATATCTGAAGTCAGTTTGGAGAAATGCAATAATGGATATGTGAGTCACTATTCCTCAACTGTGTCTTGCTGCTTGTTGAAATGTGATTTGTATGGTGCAAAGTCTGACAACAGTGTCTGAACATCACAAGCCTCAGTATAACACTAGCACAGGATAGATATTATACAAACATTGTAGGCAGATAGCAGATCAGTGTAAAGGATTTGGACCAGTGTGTCAAAGTATGATCCTGAATTTTAACCTAAACCTATTAACTTTCCTGCAATTTCTAATTCGTATCTGTGTATTTTTAAACACCCACTGATTCTTTTTCGGAAACATCAGAAACATGATGTGCTGTTGGTACAAATGTTTATTTCCTACCCACCATTGTATCCTATGTTTTCTGTTGTCACGTGGTACATAACAGGCTGCATTATTTTCCTACCTGGGGGCACTGTATCTTGCAATCTATAGAATTATCAGTGGAATTCAACTAAATCAATCCATAAATGCTTAAGAAATGAACACAAGTTATGTGGCATTTGCAACACCACATTAGCTACTGAGCTCAGCTGTTTTATCTGACACTATTCATGCTGTTTCCCAGCTTCTCAATGGAAAGAAGGTTGATCTACCATCTCAGATTTCTAGGGTACCCTGTGAAACTTCAGTTTTTAATGGTGCAAGAAAAGATGGATTATATTTCACCATCCATGCTGAAATGTCTGCTACTTTCCTCTGTCTGTAACACAGGAACCTTATATTTTATACCAATAATGGCAAAGTAATAGGAAAGTACTGAAACTTCCTTGAGCCATTTTTTCTCAATTTTGTCCATGTGTATTTTCATTTAGGAGCTGTGGTGGTTCGGCTTCCGGTCGAGCTAAGATGGAGGACTGACGCACTTTCACTTTTGTGCGAAGTTGGGAAGCCAATGGAGGGAGGGGAGGAACTGGGAATGGGGTAGACAATTGATAGAATGAAATGATTTAATTTTACATGTAGTATGAGCCATTTTTTCTCAATTTTGTCCATGTGTATTTTCATTTAGGAGCTGTGGTGGTTCAAGTGGTTAAGACGCTGAACTGCAAGCTGTGGAAGGTCAAGGTCAGTAGTTCAGCAGTTCGAGACCCGAGTGTGCCGCATGACGGAGTGAGCTCCCATCTCTAGTTCCAGCTCCTGCCAACCTAACAGTTCAAAAGCAAGAAATTGCAAATAGATAGATAGGTACCACCTCAGTGGGAAGGTAACAGCGTTCTGTGCACCTTGGTGTTTAGTCATGCCGGTCACATGACCACGGAAACGTCTTCGGACAGCGCTGGCTCTTCGGCTTTGAAACGGAGATGAGCACCGCAACCCTAGAGTCAGATTCGACTGGCTTTCAAGCAAGGGAACCTTTACCTTTATTTTCATTTATTTGCTTTTAATGGGTTTCAACTAGATTTCTACAGAGATCCAGTAATTCACCTGGTACCCTTGAAACTTCCTGAAATTGCTTTTGCAAACTTCCATGGATTCTTTGCTTCCTAAAATATTGTCTATGTGTTCATTAAGTCATTCATGTGCTTGGTAAAATTTTCATTGCCCTTATTATTATTTCTGGTAAAAAATAAGAGAGATAAGAATCCTTTCCACTGAAAAACTGGCCCATTCCATTCATCTGGTCTACCAGCCTACCAGCAACAGAACTGAGTTTACTTCAGAAGATTTTCAAAACTTTCACACTGAGAATGCTTCTTAAAGAAGTTGAACTAACACATACACATTTCTAAACATGTGGATATGAAGTATGGAAAAATAAGTCAGAAGGTGAGTTTTCTCATTGCATTAATTATGTGCGTGAATTATGAGGAAGCTACCTGTACACTTTTAGTTCAATGTTCTGACGTAAAACTGAAAAGTACAGGAATCAGTTAAAATATGGTGTCAAGGTATTTACATACCAGTTCCTTGGGTAAACTACTGTCATCTGTTCTAGTCCCACAATCCAAAATGCAGCAGCTTAAATTCTGGAGAAGTGTGAACAGTCAGAGAATTTGCCTCTGGATATTTGAAGTTAGCTTGATGCAGCATCAGAGTGCTGTATCTGGCTGGCAGAATATCTGCCAGCCAACTTTAACAGTCTGTGTTGGAGGTGAGTGGGTGCAATAAGATATGATGGGCTTCTCTGGCAAATATCTGAAGACACCTTCACATGTAATATGCACATTGTAAATTAAAACATTTATATTTGTTGTTTGCATGTTTGGCTTAAGACCTCGGGTCAATGAAGCTAATAAATGAAATGGAAAATGGAATTAAAACAAAGCATGAGACAAACATCTGATTTTCAACATGTGTATATTATAATCTAGGCTTCATGAATACATGAGGAGGTGGGAGAAGTGAGATTGCATGTAGTCCATCCACTATCAAGGTCTGTGTATCCATTACCTCTTTTGCAAAGAGTCTATATTGAGAACCCTGTCCTGCAAACAAATGCAGGATACAGACTGCAAAGAGAGAACCTACGTACATGCAGCAATGAACACACAAAAGTTGGCAGCAGAGACACCAAGCATAATATCCCTCCATACATTTATTATCCCTGAATTCTATGGCTCATTTCGCACTAGAGCTGCCTCGCAGTTGCGCCACCGTTTGCCCCGACACTATTGGTCAATTTCACACCCGAAACTGCGGGGCTGCATTTTGACTCGTGGCTTCGCCCAATTTCCCCTGCAGTTTCGTGATCTTGTTTTTTGAGAATCACGAAACTGCGGAGGAAATTGGGCAAAGCCACGGGTCAAATGCAGCCCCACGGCTTTGGGTGTGAAATTGACCAATAGTATCGGGGCAAATGGCGGCGCAACCACGAGGCAGCTCTAGTGCGAAATCAGCCTAAGTCATTTGCACAAAGCTATGCAAAATCTATGAAGCTATGACTGGCTAGGTTCATTACCATACATATTAGAAGGCAGATATTGTCTTCTCTAATGTGTGAAATCAGCCTGGATTCAGAGATACATTGATTGTTACATATTCTGTTCTCCTATAGTAATGTACAAGGTGGAACTCAGGTCTCATGTGAGCGTGTGGTCATCTGGGGTTCATCTGGATTTTAGCTTTCTTTTGTAAACTACACAGCTTCTGTGCAACCAGTACGAATTTACTGCAAGGCAACCTGGGAACTATAGTTCTGAGCTGAGGTACTTTTACTCATGAAGAGATGGGTCAGATAGCTAGGAACTTTCCCTGGAGACTGGGATTGGTTATGAAGTTAGTTTAATTGAATTAACAACCCATTTTAGCTCTTTAATAAAGCCGTGGCCTAGTTAATTGTCATTACTCTCTTTTGTATTCCTTCTGGAATATGGGGGCAATAGCTATTCAGAAACCAAATCTCATCACATTCCAGTCTCCCTACAAACCTTTCCTTCCATGAAATCCATCCACAAAATGAAACTTTAACTGGGGATTTAAAGTTCAAACATTACACATTGCAATAAAAACAATCCATTGCCAAAATTTGAATTTAAGAGGAATATTTCCGCATGCCTATGATACATACTTGATGAGACAAAATTCCCATGTGTAAATTCAAGATGCGAGCATTCTTTTCGTATTCTAAAAAAGATGTCTAGCGCAATATAGGTACATTTCTTGGGAATAGTACAGATTTTCTGTACTAAAAAAACCCCTAGATCATTAAACAAAATCCTCATCCATCAGCTCACACTTTCCTTTGTGGCCCTAAAGAAAATAAGAACTAAGTTTCATAAACCCACTGAACAGGAACAGACGAGGCCATTAAAATGGCCCAGGAACAAGCCTAACTAGTAACCCCCAAAAGCAGGGCTGGTATCAGCATCCCCTGAGATGGGCAGCTGCCAGGGTCCAGGGTTTCTGGCAGGGCCCACTTGGCAGAGCTCCTCAACCATACAGTGCCAGGGAAGGATCTGTAAGGATATGCAATGGTGGCACTACTGGCAGGCACAATGCATCTGCATACACCACCCAGAACTGTCAGGGAAAGGACATATAGCCAGTAGAAAGGCTCACAAACAGAGGAAGGAAGGAAGGAAGGAAGGAAGGAAGGAAGGAAGGAAGGAAGGAAGGAAGGAAGGAAGGAAGGAAATGATGTGGGTGAGCTGGAAGGAGGGCATGAGCGGGGATCCTGGTGGGGGTCAGAACAGTATAGGGGGGGTACTGGACACTCTCTGCCCCCCAAAAAAACCCTGGAACCAGTCCTGCCCACAGGGGCTACTTTACTTAAAACCTGGCCAATAAAGCACAAAAGAAAACAAAATGCAAGATTATGCCTGTCATCATCATTGTTGTCAGGGTCTGAATCAGGCGACCACTGAGGTGCTGCCAGGTCCACTGGTGCCCAGCCAGCATAGTTTACTCCTGACCCACAGTCATCCTCTGAGTTAGTGGTCCATCAGGATATTATCCAGTACAATAAAGAAACCAATCCACCCTGCTTGCCCGCCTGGTCATTTAAGGAAATTCTTAATAGCCATAGGTGACCACTGACCAGGCAAATTTGTAAACCGGTAGTAGAAAATAGAAAAAGCAGACTGGATTAGATGACCTTCAAGATACTTCCCCAAATTCTGTAATTTTTACGGGGCATTTTATTGCTTCTACATAATAACAATGCTAGGGAACACACCACAGCATGCAATTCTAAACAATCCATGTAACTGAAGCAGCAAGTGCATTAAGGAGATGGCCCCTTTTGATGATTTAAACAGTGTCTCCTTTGCTCTCCCTTCCTTTTAAAACTTCAAAGCTCTCAACTCAAAACAGTGCAACGCATCATCAGCGACTTACAACATCTACTGGATAATGATCGTTCGCTTTTACAGGTATTGGGGGGCAAACTTTTTTTATGGCACACAGACAGCCCCCCCCCATCTCAAACAACTCCTCATCCACCATAATACAACATCTAATTTGAACGTGGACACCGGAACCAAAGCTTGCAATAAATCCAGAAGCCAACTTAAACAAAGCATAAGAAAAGGAGAAGGAATAGTTACCTGTCTTTGATGCCACAGAGATCGATGCGCAAATCGCTAAAATTCCCCAGGGAACCTTTCTGAACTAAAATGAGGTCCTTGGGCTGGTTATCAATAAAGATGAGCCTCATGCAGCCTTGAAAAGCCGTAATGGGATTTAAACATTTCAAATCAGTGAAATTGTTGGGGCACCCTGTGGGATAAAGAAGGGAGAAAAGAATATAGATGAAGAATACTTAAAAGATAATTTATTTCCTTGGGGACAGACTGATGGAAAGTCTAATTATTCCTAGTGTTTTCGTTGTTTGCTCAGTGCAAGCATCAGAATTACAAATTATTATTCTTCTTTTTGTAAAAAAAAAAAAAAGCAACCAGGCAATAATGCTGATAGAATACAGACCCATGGAGATGTGAGAAACGGCTTCTTTTTTTTGCCTTCTTTGTAAAAGGAGAAGGTACAATTTAGATCTATTAAAAGTGTTGTCATTGACGTCAATGGGATATGGAATGGACCTGCATGGTACCACCCAGCTAAGGAAACCCTGTTGAAATGTACAGAGGCCTGGGTCTTCCCTGGCAACTATTTTTGTGCCTTTGGGGCTGCCCCTCACCTAAGAATTGCAGCAAAGGTGGAGTGCAGAAGATATCAAGGCAATGTTTCAAAACTGATTGCTAGTTCCCCCACAACAAAACTTATTTATCAGGTTGTATACCCCCTGTAATAAATCTGACTAAGTCAAATTCATGCCAATCATGCCCTTAACACTGTAGCAAGAGATGAGGCTGTTGCACCAACTGGAGATCTAACTCTTTCCTTTAAACCCAAAGCAAAATGTCATCTCTGTTGTTCATATGTGACCCACATCTTTATGCTCAAAGTCCTCCATTACTATGTCATAACTACTGATATCAGAGTAACCACATTCATAATGACATCTACAGCACAGACGTGTACTCAAAACTATCCTAATGTGTCTTCATCTCTTTGACGAGGATGGAAAAGGACAACAAAATCTATACCAGTGCTGCTGTATACTCCTGAAATATGAAAGAAACAGCAAACCAATGTGACCAGGAGTTATGTTCATGAAGAGAACTGAGAGCTTTTAAGGCAGCTGCCTGGATGCAATGGTTACTCACTTTCAGAGATCATTTCGTAGAAAAAGAGGTGCAGGAGCTCATTAGCATAACTCATTAGCATAACTTATTTGCATATGCCACACCCCCTGACATCACCGGAAGTGTGTCAGAAGGCAACACCCACCGCTCAGGCTCCACTGGATTGTTTTGGATTGCTAGCTATGGGGGGAAGGGACGTGCAGATCTGTCCTTCCAGAGGAGGGAGAGCTTGTACCTGAATAAAACTTGGTCTTAAAGGTGCCACTGGACTGTTTTGGACTGGGGGGGGGGCCTCTGCAACTTACCTGGTTGCTTCTTGTTCTGACTGAGGGCTGCTGGGAGCAGGAGGGGGGCTTGTTGCATGTGCCCTCCCCCTGGACTCTTTACTGCCAGAGCTCTGCTCCTGTGCGCTCCTGCAGGAAATGACCCCTGCTCACTTTTAATCGATGCACAACACATAGTAGTGAAGGAAGAACAACAGAATAATACTCTGTGCAGTTCTAAATAGAATGCAGCCCATTGATTTTAATGGACTTAGAAGGGTGTAACTGTGCTTAGGAGTGCACTGTAAATGATCATTGTATCATATTTTAATCCTATCCTTCTTGCATGGAATTTTGGGCTGCATATATGGCTCTCCTGTCCCCCATTTTATCCTCACAATTATTACATGAAGTAGGCTAGCCAGAGAAAAAAGTAACTGACCCAAGGTCACCCAATACACTTCATAGCTGAGTGGGGATTGGAAATCAGGTCTTGTCAGACTCCTGGACAAAGTTACTCTCAACAACACAAGTTAAATAAATGTTCTCTATTTCAAAAACCAGGAAATTTTCATTCATTCATTCATTCATTCATTCATTCATTCATTCATTCATTCATTCATTCATTCACTTTCTATCCCACCCTTCCCGTAAGCGGGCTCAGGGCAGGTTACAAAGTCACATAAAGATTGTGATTACAATAACAATAAATAGAAATTAAACAATAACATTAACAATATCAACCGTGCAGGAAACCAGAGTGAGCCCACCTTGATAACAAAGCTCAGATGGAAGCATTTCAGAGTTTCTGGCAGGCCATAATACATAGCCCATACTAGCCAGATGTTCTGCCCTTCCATCTGCAGTTATTCAAGGCAGGTATAATAAAAACCCCTACCCTGAAAGGCTATGTTCATGCACTTCATGCGAGGTCGAATCAGTAGAGCATATGTTTTTCAGTTGCCCATTCTACAGAGAGGCTTGTCTTAAAATCATTACCCCATTAGTTGGTAGGGTACCTGGTCACATCAATACGAACAAAGCAAGATTTCACTGGCTTCTATCAGATAAGAATGCAGAGATTACACGTTCAGTTGATGAGTTCTGTGCATTGATTCTTAGATTGTGGGAGCTACATTTTAAAAGTTTTTAACTTTAGATTTTATTCTGTATATTATCTCTGTTTTTTCCTTCTTTTTCATACTATATTTATATTGTATGCTGGTCTTAAGACTGTAATAATAAAACTAACTAGTGACATAGCCCATGGACAACAGTGGACTTGGAAAGTCACAGAGTACACAGGACAGCTCTAGTCTACTTTCTACAGTTCTTTACCATGCATGTTTTAACAGGAACACTGTTAAAGCATCTCTATATCAGACTAAGCCAAGGGTATGACCATAAACTAGCACAAGTCATTGATAAAGGCACTAAAACGACAGCAGGCAGATGTTCAGGCAGTGGCTTCATGCCATCTGCTGCCAAGGTATGCCCTAGAAACCCTTTGCCACCTTTTTTCAATATTGCGTTTCAATTGCACTGAGCTTTATGCCTGCTTGTCGGGGTTATGTCAGCATCTGGGCTAGAGTACCAGTATGCTAAGGGACAATTGTGCGGGGAAAATGAAAATGTCATCCATAGCATTACACAACCTAAATATAACCAAGGAATATAGAATAGACTTGCTGAAATATCAGAGGTGTAAAGATCAAAGGAAAATGAAGTCTTTAATGCCTCTGCATCCTGCAAGAAGGTAACAGTGATTCCATCACACATTTAAAAAGAGCCACTGAAGCCAAACATTGTTAATTTAGGGCAAACTGTTCTTCCAGTCATCCAAGCAGATAGCCCAAAGATAGGATCAAAAGATATCAGTAGAGTGTTTCTATGAAGAAGGCCAGAATTGTTCTGAGCAACATCACACACCTACAAGAAATGCACTTTAAGTGTCCAAAGATTTCTGCTACATCCACTCAAGCCAGTAGAGGTGCCTACATTGCCTGCATGCAATATATTGTGCCCCCTTGCCACTTATATTTACTTTTTACTTCTGCAGGAAAAAAAAGAAAATTGAGCTTGTAAAGACTGGGGGCGGTGGAATACAGAATCAGTATGAAGGCAGCATGCTAATTGTGTTTGCACCTGGGTGCTTATTTAAATTACTTAATGTGTTACTGTTGCCCCCTTTTCTGATTTTAATCATATGGGCTCTGAATCACATAACTGCTTGTCAAGCCTTCAGCTTCATGTGTTTATTATTTTTTTTAAAAGAACTTTCAATTAAATAGAAACCCAACAGACCATAGTTAAGGAGAAAACTTTGAAAACCAAACCCTTGGGAGTTCAAAAATTAGCCAACGAAGGCCAGAAAACATGTGGGGGGAGGCATGACTGTTCACCCTGGAGCAAAATAAAGTGTGGTAGCCTGATCACACGGTCCCCCGAGTCTTTGCACGTAGGCTGTTAGCTGGCGATCACATGGCAATGCTGGAGCGTGGCAAAGAAGCGACGTGGCAAGAGTTTCGCATTTGTGTGCATGCGTAGTTCCGCGGAGCAGCACTGATTTCAGTTACGTGTTTGTGCGCATGTGCTTACAAAAAACATCCAGTTTGCAACGGGATGTGGACGGACGCCAGATGCCATGGGATACTAGTGCTCCCGTGATCAGACGCCCGCCCCTGCTCTGCATTTTCCGGATACTAGTGATCTTTCCAAGGTACTTTTTTACTGCACATTTTTGGCGGGATGCCACGGGTTGGCCACGGGTGCGCTACGCTTCCCAGATGTTGCGGTGTGATCGTGCCCCAAAAATCCACCTGACATTCATGCCTTTAGTGTGGCAAATCCTCCATGTGACCGGGGCCGAAAGAACTTATAATGCTTAATCACATTTTAAGCCATAAACTGATCAACAGATTGCATTTAAATGAATGATAGGGTGAGTGCGATTCTTAAATCTTATTTTTTGCATGAAAACCTCTCCGCTGATACACTGCCTTGCCTGCACAAGAAACATACAACTGGATCCTAGACAGACACATGTCTGAAAACATAGAAGCAGGTGTCAGGCTCATGCCTGCAAAGATTATGAAACTTGGAGCTGAGTAATGTCAGATATAGCTTGTGTGCCACCACTGAGCAACAGCCAAAGGAAGTAATGTAGGATGACTACTCTGAAACCTCTTGAATATTAAAAGAGCAGAGTAGATCATCACAACTTTGTCACTGCAAAAGTCTGCATGACTAATATTATGAACCACCAATATCCTAAGCTTTCTGTTGTTCAGCATCTCACATCTGCCTTGCTTTTCCCTCTCTTACCCCTTAACTCACGTGGTCTGTAATTGTTGCCCAAATCCCTGCCTCACAATTGGTAGTTCAATAGTATATGCAAATATGTGAAGTTAATCATCTGTAAACCCCCTTCCTTTTTTAATAAGATTCCGTCCCATTTCTCATGGAGCCCTTATTTCCTCTCCTACTCTGAGAGGTCCTTCATTCCATTCCTTCCCTATTTAGCATCATCTGATCAGTGACATCTGTAGCATCCACAGCATTTTTTGGTTTGTTGTTTCTCTGCACTGAGGTCAGGGTCACAATATCGCCTGACTCTCCCTGACCCGAAAGACTCCAGACTGGCCATCACAAGGGCCAGAGCCTTTTCAGTGGCAGCTCCACACTGGTGGAACGAGCTCCTGGAGGACATCAGGGCCCTGTGGGACCTTTTACAGTTCTGCAGGGCCTGTAAAATGGAGCTCTTCTACCAGACCTTCAACTAGGAGCCACCACTGGAGCCATCGGAAACTTA